CATCCAGGAGGTGTGTGAGCTACAGGAGAAACCCACGAAGATCTTCGGAATCTTGGATGTCCGTGGACAGATTGGTGGCAAGGCCATCATCTGGGAGATGGCAGTGAATGAAGGAGGACTGTACATGGAAGTGCCGCCGGGAACGTGTGGCCTGGCGATGTTGAGCTTCGTGAGGTACTTGAAGAGAAAAGGGATAGTCCCTGTTTTGCTTCTGGGTGAGCACCAGGACCTCGGAGTCTTGCGGATGGTGGATCTGTTGTGCATGCTACCCATTTTGGGAGCAGAGAGGATCATGGAGGATGAAGCTGAGAGCTCGTATTATCCCCCATGGGTGTTGCGCTGGAAGAGAAGTGCAAAGGAAGGATCCTTGGTGTTTAAGGAACTGGTGGAGCGAGTGCGAGTGATTTCGATGTTGTCGTGTGATACACTTCGGATTCACGAGCCGGAGCTGAGGGAGAGACCAGTCCCCAAGTGGTCGTTTGTGGCCTACAGCCACTACAGATCCGTGATGGAGTCTGTTGCAGGATTCTTGGAGGACCTGGAGAAAAAGAAAGAGGAGATCACCGACACGCAGAGGGCGGCAAGCTGGAAGAAGGTGGTTGCGTCAAAGTTTGCGGGGAAGATGTTTTTGTTCTGCATGGCAAAAACCTGCACCGCACACAAGACGAGTGAGACTCGAAGCGGTGTTGTGTGGATCTGCAAGTGTAAGTGGCACTTGCCGACCGACTATGTGGTGAGGTTCAACTTGACGTTGCCTGCCGACATGTGGCAGCAAGCCTTTGGGATCATGGGTGAGAATGTTGGGAAACTCGAGAAGGAGGAAAAGGACCTGAAGCGGATCCTCAAGGCTGCAGCGGAACAGCAAGACCGAGAGTTCGAGGAAGCTGAGCGAAAGCGCAAGCGCATCGCCGACCTGTCAGCTGCCGAGGAAGAAGCTGCTAAGAGAGCAAAGCTGGAAGGCGAAGCGGTTCGCTCGCCTGTGTCAGTTGTACCATCTGAGTTGGATGCAGCAGCTATCGCGCAGATTGCTGAGCGTGTGAAGGCAAGCTTTAGTGTTGCCGATTTGGAGCTGATGTTGGAAGAGAAGAAGAGAAAGGTTGGAGACCAGCCAACTGAGAGGCCTGCGGAGACGCCAGCTGAGCCTAGCCGATCTTCGCAGGATGTGGTGATGGAAACGAGGACGGCTGAGTTGGCGGAGATGAAGGAAGCCGCCAAGGAGCGCCGCGCCAAGTTGATGGAGTCAACTGGAGCTGGCGAGAAGAAGGGCGAAGAGGATGAAGAATGAACTGAGATGCTAAGTGATCTCAGTGGTTGGGTGGGTGAGTGAAACCCGCAGCCATTTTTTGGAAGCCATGGCCGCGTTGCCGCCATGGAGCGCCCGCGATTTTTCTGGTTAGTGTGAGCCCTTGTTTCAGTGCATGAGAAGTTTGCAAAGAGGAGGCAAAATGATGATGAAACTCAACGAGGGACTCTATAGCCCCTTCTGCAAGGCGTCTGATTGCCACCTCTGAAGACGTTTTTGGCTGATGGTACGCTGGAAGAAGCGAAACTATGAAGCCAATCTTTTCTTGAAGGATCAGCTAGCCGATGCTAGTTGGTGAGTTTGGTGACCTGGAAGATGCGAGACTGAGGAGGAGTACCACGACAAGGTCGAGTGCTGAGTGGGAAACATCTGAAGCTTGCATTAATTCGTTTTCACGTGTTTGTCACCACGAACTCTTGGATTCGTTCCAAGACAACCCTGCCCCAGTGCAGGTGGATGCAAGTTTAATTCGTTTTTCACGTGTTTGGACAACGAACTCTTGGGTTACCAGTGATGTGGACCCAGGACAACCTGCCTGATGGTGGGATCTTGCATGAGTTTTAAGTTTGATGTCAGAGATCGACTGGTGTGTTGTTTGTTTCGTTTGGTGGCGAGTACGCACCAAGGGAATGTGGCCAGGGCATCCCCTTAGTGTTGAAGTGCCGAGCTGGGCTTGGACTTCAGATCTTTGACATGAACCCTCAGCAAAATGCGGGGGGTGGAAGATTGTGGCTGATCATTGATGTTTTTGTCATGTTTTGGATCAGCTTGTATAGGTTTGTTTTGCTTCGGAGTGATTGGGAATCCGTGTGATCCCATCCTCGATGGTTTATGCCTCGTTGATTTCCAAGGAAATCATACGAGTGTGTTTTTGCCCAATACGCTATTTAAAGTGAGTGTGCAGTGTGTAGGAACTTCGTTCTGAAGCTGAGTTTAAGCTCACAAGAGAGAATTCGTTTAGTTTGTGCACTTCGTGACTTTTGGCTCAAGTGGCTCTGACTGTGAAAAAGAGAGAGCTGTCCGCACTTGTGTGAGAGGTCAGGGTTCGTGCTTTCAAGGGAAAAGGTACCAGAGGGACCTTCGTTTTTTCACGAAGCACGTCGAGCATGTTTTTCCTTAAGATTTTGTTTTGTCGGAGAAGTGAGCTTGCATAGGTGGCGTCAACTGGGTTTTCAGTTTTACTTTTATTGTTGGGTTAAGACCACCCCCGCGGCACCCTCCGGCGTTTATGTTGGTGCAAGATCCACCCCCCGGCGTGGATGTTGAGCCAAGTCAGGAGCGAGTGTGCACCTTGTGCGCCAGAGCGGTAGAAAGTGGTACTACTCAAGCTACGACGAAGCAACTTTTCAAGGCAAACTCACTAACTTAGCAACTGGGCAACTTCAAGCGGAAACTTCCAGCTCGTGGCGGCTTTCGCTTTAAGCTGATGTTCCAAGCCTTGCTGCAATGGATCGCTTCACTGAGACTAACGCGGAACTTCTTCGTGCGGAGAATGCCTTCCTTCTTGGAACAAAAACATCCCCCTCTTTCGTGTTGCACATTACAAGGAAATGCTCAAAGATGCAGAGTTAGATAGCTGGCTCGGCGATGTTGAGGAGCATGTTAATGCATGTGTATTGCCTCTATCGTGGGAAATTGATTCTATCCTGGTGCTCTTAAAGTTGCGATCATGAGAGCACATATCTTTCAGATTGCTCTAAACTTCAAGACTGGCAGAGCGATTCCGATGTGCAATCATCATCTCACGAGATCTCTGAGCGGCAGTCGCCAAGCGGGCACCACCGCTGGTCAGAATGACCAGCATCCCAACACTGCACAACCCTCTAAGATTGGACTGGAGGGGGGTGCGATTTATCACGGTGGGCAGCAATTGACAACACTCCGAGGGCTTGAGCTTCCCCCGACGCTTTCGACACCACTGCGCACGGCGCAGCCGTTTTGAGGCTTCAAAAAGAAGTGTCCTACCCGAGCCCAGTAGGACCCCCGAAACAGCCTCTGAGCTTTCGCAGTTTCTTGCTAAGACAAACTGAAAGTAAAAAAATCGGCTGCAGCTCCTGCAAACGTCTTCTGCTTGAGACTGAAAATGTGTGGTGGCTGCGGGTTGTCCTTCTTCGACCTTCGTTGCACCAGTGGCTTCATGATGGTGGTTTTGATGATCTGGCAAACTCTCGCATTTTGCAACTCCCCCGCATGCTCTGCGCTGTGATTACACCTGGATTTCTGTGTTTTGTGGTGGTTTTGGTGTGTGTTTGCTTTGGTTTTCGCGCCTGCGACCGTTTCACCTCTAGTGTTGAGACCCACAAGAACGGCCTACTGCGCTGCTGATGTAGTAAAGAGGCGACGGTTCAAAAAATGTGGTGGCTGCGGATTGTGGGGCTTGGTAGTTTTTCTGATTTTCTCACCATGAGTTCGCAGACTGTTTTGATCTAACACTCAGGTTCTTTGCTTGTTTTACCCGTCACAAAAGACCGGCCCACTGTGCCTGCTGCTGTGTTCGCTTTGTCAGGCGAACCTTCAAAATCCGTGACTCACGTTCTTGCATATTTTCACCGATCTTTTTTGGAGAAAGCCCACAAGAATGGAACTGCTAACTTTCGGAATTTCCTTGTAGAAAGTCTAGGCACCTTTTGTTGTTTTTTCCAAGCAATAACCACCGACTTGGGCCACTTCGTCTCTAATGCAAGACTTACTTGGTCCTTGTCATCTCGCAGGTGGTGGGGCGCTTGTCGGAAGTCATGCGCCACAGAGCCCATTAGAAAGCAGGCCAACCAGCAGTCCGGATCAATGAAAAGTCAACCTTTCTTGTGGGTCAGAAGCTGTCTTGAAGTGACATGTCTTGGCATCGCGTCTTTAATGTGCATGGATGTGTTTCGGCGTGGCAAGACTTGTTTTGGCATGGCAAGAGCATGTTTGTCGGCATAACGTTCTCTGGTTTGTCTGGTCTCTTGTTTTCTTTGGTCTCTCGGCCTCTAGTTCTCTAGTCTCTTTGGTCTGGTTTCTCTGCTCTCGCTCTCTCTGCTTTCTCTGCTTTTCTCTGCTTTCTCTACTTTTCTCTGCTCTCTGCTTTTCTGATCTTCTGCTCTCTCTTTCTGCTTTCTGCTTCTCTGCTCTCTCTGCTCTCTCTGCTCTCTGCTTTCTCTGCTCTCGCTCGTTTCTCTGGTCTCTCTGTCTCTCTAATCTCTCTGGTCTCTCTGGTCGGTCTCTTTACTCGCTCTATTCTTTCTGCTCTCTCTGCTCTCTGCTCTCTCGCTTTCTCTGCTCTTTCTGCTCTGTCTCTCTCTCTCTCTCTCTCTCTCTCTCTCTCTCTCTCTCTTTCTCTCCTTCTTTCCCTATGACGCTGCATGGTGGCGTTAGAATTTTGAGTGCAGCAAGACAGGCACAGATGTGAACTTGTTTTTCGTAGCAGCATTGAACGGTTGTTGCCTTCATTTGGTGTTTCTTCCGGTGTTTGTTCTCATATGTTGCTGGAGCATTTAGTTGGGGTAGTTTCTTGACATCAATGATAGTGTCGCTTTTGGTTTTGTGCTCCGTCTGTTGGTGTACCCACAGTTTTTGGGGGGTCCAGGCTTGGAGACTTCAGCCTGCGGAGTGTCTGCTCACCGATCCCCAGGCAATCATTTCAGCAGCTGTAAGTCACAATGTTTGCTCAAGCGGGGGCTGTTTCATCGTCTTGGAGCGCGCCGGGTTGATCCTAGCCATGGTCTACCAGGCAAAAATTCTGTTTTTGTCATTGCTGGTGATCGGGTCGTGGCGGCTCGTGGTCAAGAACAGCACCTTCCTGGAATGGTTTGAGCTTCCCAGCCGGATGCAAGAGATGGGTCTGCCAAAGAAGCTGCCCACATGGCTGAAGCAGCCTTTGCACTATTATGTGATCCTTTACTTCATGTTGGGCGTTTTACTGTACAACTCTTTGCACGATACAGTAAAGATCATGAGACAGACGGACTTCATGGATGCTTCTTGGCTATCTAACATCCATGTGGTTCCTCCTTTCTGGGGCAAGGGGGCGGGACACCAATACCTTAAACCCTAAACTCTAAACCCTAAACCCTAAACCCCAAACCCTAAACCCTAAACCCTAAACCCTAAATCCTCCTCAAACCCTAAACCGTTATGCCACACCCAAGTATCACAAAACCCTTCGGCCCAGGCACCCTTGACCTTGAGCCCGAAAGCTTGGACTCCAAGCTTCCACGAAGCCTCGCTCCCCGAAACGCCCACATACACACCCGTTGAGGGTTTTTGGGTTTAGGGTTTAGGGTTTAGGGTTTAGGGTTTAGGGATTAGGGTTTAGGGTTTAGGGATTAGGGTTGAAAGTTTAGGGTTCCCACAGACAAACCCTCAGCCCTTTCGGGGTAGTTCCATGGTCCCCTTAATGTGGCCATACTTGGGGAATTTACAAAAAACCCCAGGGGCCCACGCTTCACAGCCTTTTATACAAGGTATACGAAACCCTAAACCCTAGGCCACTTCCCTTATAAACCCTCACGTCCCAGAGCGCCCAGGTTTGGGCCTTTCACCTCCCCGACTCAGTTCCCCAGGAAGAGCGCAACTTTCCAAGATGGCTTTTCTCAATATCTGCATACACCCCGCTCGCTCCCTTGTGAAAAAGAGGAGAGATTGTTCTTCGGATGGTTTTTTTGGGGGTGCGAAACCCAGGCGAGATTGTTCCGGAAGTTGTTTTTTGGAGTAGGGGGCGAGAAATGTGGAGAGCTTGTAGTTCGTGTCTGGGAGAAAATAGCACTTTTTGTAAGAGCTGCTATTCAAAAGATGTGTGCGAACGGACTGAGCACGTGTTTGGCGTTGACAATAGACTGTGCGGAAGCGATCGCAGAGCATCCGCACCTAGAAAGCTTGTACTCGGTGGGCGGGTTTCGGTATGTTATCTGTCGGGTTCAATCGGCCTTGAATTGGAATTGGGTTTCTGAATACTTCAGTGAAGCTTCGCGAAGTGGGAGGGTTCCAACTCACAAGCCAACTCAATTGCTGTTACGCAGGTCTAATGTTCGTGTTCGGGCTCCAGAGCCTACAGCCTAAGGGCACCTGTCCTCAGGCGAGCATAGCCACGTTCGTGGTGTCGGTCGGGCACACCCTCATGCACTATTGTGCCATCAGAGGCATCGAGCTAAAACGGGTTGTGGATCAAGATCGGGCAATTGGGATTCCGAGCAGCAAGGCTTTTGGAATTTTTCGAAGCAGATTCCAGCAACCTCTTACAAGAGAATTTCCCCCTTCAACTTCACCATCCGAGGCAATTTTGGTGATTGCTCTTCCGGCTGTCTATGGTGCCATGGCATTCAAATCGGTGATACGGATGTGGATTCTTTTCACTGGCTGTCGGATTGAAAGCGAGTGTGGCTCCCCTGGCTCACCCTGGGAGACCAAGAAGACCCTCGGCTTTCTCCGTCTTTGCTGTTTTTGCTGCCACGCCTCTCAGGCTTTTGGGCTTCTTGTGTAGTTGAGTGTGGGTTTTGCCAAGCATGTTCTCTGAATCTTAGAGCACTGAGGACCTTCATCCTGGACGCGTACGACTCCAACTACGACACCGCGGACCTCTACGAGGCCTACGCGCTGTACCTCTTCGCGCAGCTCTGCATGTCGCAGGTTGCGAAGAGAACCTCGGACTCGGGCACCTCCACCCTCACGCACACGGTCGAAGCTCTGACAATGCAGCCAGAGGTTAGGCTTAAAAAAGCTTTATTATTATCATTATTATTGTTATTATTATGATTATTGTTTTTCTTTTATGTTTTATGTTGAGTTCTTCACTGTAGTTCCCCTTCGTTTGAGCAAATGTCTCTGTGGAGCCTGCAAGCTTGGAAACCCAGCCTAGGCAGGGCGTGATGAGCTTCGTGATCGTGTGTTTCTTGGTGTTGAGGGCTCCAATACCAAGGATCCGCGGAGCGTAAAAGGGATATTAATGTTGCAGCGGTTCCATGTTCTACCATGCGCTGTACCCGTACGAAACAAGTCCAGCGTTTTGAAGACCTGAAGATGTGTGTTGCTGTTTCGCCGCCAGAACATGTAAGAAGACACAACCTGCAAGTCAGTCTGCTTGGATGTGTTGTTGGGTGCAGAAAGGTCTTGAGTCCCAAGAATGGCACTCAGGAAGGTTTATGGATACTTAACTTGTTGCCTACTCCTGTGGGACCCACCCTTAGAAGGAAGATGATGAACATAAGGTTTCCTTCAAGCCACGTACAAGATGGCGCTCACCATCTACGTGAGCCTCACCGATGACACGACATTGCCAGGCCTGTCGCCCTACCTGACAGGGGCCGGACTGGTCGCTTCATCTGCAGCGATTTCCAATGTGATCACTGTTGAGCACAGCCTGGAGACCTACTTGCACGATTTTCGGCCAAGCGCAAAGTTTTGGAGCGCAAAAGTGTTGGTGTCCATCGCTTTTTTGCAGCAAACCATCTTGTCCATCCTGTCACACTTTCTCGGCGCGGGCTTCACGGACCTGCAGCAAAATCTTCTATATTCGTCTCTGATTTGCTATGAAGTCCTGCTTGTTTCCTTCTTCCACATGTATCTCCCACGTGGTTGAGGAACCATTCTTGCCCAAAAGGCCCCCTTTCACAAGTTTTTCATGCAATCATTGACCACTGTGTTGAAGCCAGCACCGCATCAACACCAAGGTACGCGTGGAGAACAAGTGAACCATGGTTGAAGTGCGCCACGCAAGAGCCACTGCTGAGTGGTGGCCACTGATCCCTTGCGCGACGATGCTCCGTGCCGATAGATTGCGAAGACGAAGGGTCCTCAACCTAAACCTTAACCCTAAACCTTAGCCCTAAACCCTAAACCAGAAACCCTCATTGAGGGTTTGGCAGGACTCAACCCTAAACCCTAAACCCTAAACCCTAAACCCTAAACCCTAAACCCTAGACCCTAAACCCTACACGCCCATTTAGGTGATAGGGGTTTAGAAGGCTTTCGAGCCTACATGAGGTTTTGGCAGGTCGGGGCTGATCCAAACCCCCTCAAACCTAAACGCCAAAGAACTTTGCGTCCTTCAGCCTGAAGCCCTTCAACCTTCGTAGCCTGACTCGAGACGAAGTTCTTGGGCTGGCTGCGGTGAGTTTTACACCGTTACTCAAGGCATTTGCGAGCCTTGCTCGTGCCCTATATGGGTAGGGATTATTGTCTTTATACCTCCTAAAGCCCCAGGACCCCCCACCGCCCCTTTGAACCCCACAAGCCTAAACTGTCAAGCCGTTTGAACCCCACAACCCTAAACCCTAAACCCCAAACACTCGCAACCTCCTAGAACCACTGAGGCCGGCCCCTCTGAGCCAAGCGCCAGCCACAAGTTCCCCAAAGAAGGATGCGGCCTAAACACTCCCCAACTTCCGTCTAGGTGTTAGGGTGGCACCAGGTATCTGAGGGTTTTTGAAATCACGTCAGGGAGATGAAGGCGTTTGGGGCGTCATGGTTTAGGGTTTAGGGTTTAGGGGTTTAGGGTTTAGGGTTTAGGGTGACATCGGTTGCCCAGGAGCTCGACAGCTGTTGCGGGCCTTAACCATACCCCCCGCAAAGATCTCGAGAACGCATGTGGGATAGCCCAATAGTAGCAGGGTACTGCAGTGAGGGGTCAGTGACTTTAGTTCCAGGCTTACTGTTGGTTAGTAGGGAATGAGGGAATGAGGACCCTATCTCCCCCAAACAATACCCTCAAGAAGAGTACCTCATTCACTCATTCCCTACGAGCCAACAGTAAGCAGGGTGAGTGGAGAGCGTAAACCCTAAACCCTAAACCCTAAACCCTAAACCCTAAACCCTAACCTAAACCCTAAACCCTAAACCCTAAACCCTAAACCCTAAACCCTAAACCCTAAACCCTAAACCCTAAACCCTAAACCTTGAAACCTAAACCCTAAACCCTAAACCCTAAACCCTAAACCCTAAACCCTAAACACTAAACCCTAAACCCTAAACCCTAAACCCTATCCCCTAAACCCTAAACCCTAAACCCTAAACCCCGAAACTGAACCTCCTGCATCCTGAAGCTTGTGGATCGAGTGCCATGTTGTTCGCCGTGCTCTTTGGTCATCTCGCTTTTTCGCTTTCGCATGGCTTCGTGCCGGGCCAGCTGTCTACGTCGGGAAAGCACACGTGTGTGAACGGAAACGGTAGCGTGAAGTGCTGGGGATTCAATTGGTATGGTCAGCTGGGTTTAGGCGACAGGAGTGATCGTGGGGATGCAGATATCGAGATGGGAGATGCCCTACCAACTGTGGATGTCGAACAGTCCGCTTTCGTCGTGGCCGGGGGCCACCACACTTGTGCAATCCTCATCGACTTCACTGTGAAGTGTTGGGGTTTGAACCTTATTTCGCCAATACATGAACTTTAAGCTTTTTTGGGCTCCTTGTTTTGTAGGAGTAGTCAAGTTTAACCTGTTAATTCCTTGGTTATTGGAGAAGTAAGGAACTCCTACGGACAGCTGGGTTTAGGTGACACCACCAGCCGTGGTGGCGCAGCAGGCGATATGGGAGCCAACCTTCCCCCTGTTGACGTTGGCAGTGGCAGCTTGGTGGTCGAAGTCGCTGCTGGCATGTACCACACCTGTGCGCGATTGGCGGATAACAAGACCAAGTGCTGGGGGCGCAATGATCACGGCCAGCTGGGTCTGGGTGACACCGCTGGAAGAGGTGCCAGCCCGGGTGAGATGGGCTCTGAGTTGCCGCCGGTCGACGTTGGGACGGGTAGGACGGTGCAAGGACTTGCCGTGGGAGGCTTGCACACCTGTGCGTTGTTGGACGACTTTTCTGTTAAGTGCTGGGGCTCTGCCTCAGATGGCCAATTGGGATATGAGAGTACCGCAGGCCGAGGCCATCAGGCAGAACAGATGGGAGACTACCTGCCCGTCGTGGATGTTGGGGCTGGCCGCAGCGTGCTGCACGTCACGGCAGGTGAGAGCCACACGTGCGTCGTGTTAGACGATGGCACGGGCAAGTGCTGGGGCAAAAACTCGCTTCTTGGGTGTGTTTAGTGGCTGTTGTAGTTGTTCGTACGCGTTTTGTTCAACACATAGACTCAGAACCTTCGCATGCTTCTAGACGCCTGAATTTGGCACACAAAGTTAGCCTTGTTAGCCCAATAGGGACACGGGCCCACGTTAGTTCACCCCAAGGCTTGGCGTGCTTGGATTGGGTGACAGTCTGACCCGTGGCGATGCATCTGGTTCGATGGGTGACAATCTGCCCGCACTGGATTTGGGAACTGGCCGGTTGCTGCTTTGGCTGCAGGCAGGCTACCTTCACAACTGCGCGCTTCTGGACAACTTCGCTTGGAAATGTTGGGGCTACAATACCTACGGCCAACTGGGATTGGGAGACTCCGAAACCAGAGGCTTCATGTCGGGCCAGATGGGTGATAGCCTGCCAAGCCCTGATCTGGGGGGACACTTAGCGATGGTCATATGCCCGGGCCGATACCACTCGTGCGCAGGATTGGAGAATTCCACGGTGAAGTGTTGGGGTTATAATTGGGATGGCCAGTTAGGCCTAGGTGACACCGTCGACCGTGGAAGATACAGCAATGAGATGGGCGGCAACTTGCCTGCCGTTGTTCTTGATGGAATTGTCACTTCCACAAGCAGTACAACTTCAACCTTCTCCACAAGTACAGCTTCCTCGACACCCACCAGCTCAACTGTCACCATCACTACCAGCCGCACACAAAGCACCACAAGTAGCAGCTCATCTGTCACAGGCACCGCGACGACCACGTCTACAACAAGCAGTTGGAGCAGCAGCAGAACCAGCACCCGTTCGAGCAGCACGTTTACCAGAAGCAGCACGAGCTTCAGCACCAGTACCCAAAGCAGTGCCACCAGCACCATCACAAGCGACGTCACCACCTCAATGACTTCCACAGCAACGAGCACTACGTCCCGAACCGCATCCACGCAGGCCCGGCCTCGCATGCTCAGTGCACAGTAAGACAATGTAAGACATGCCTTCGTCCTTTGCAAGGACCCGGCTGCCGGAGGCGGGTGGGGGGGGGGCAAGTGGAGCAATCGGAAGTTCTCAAACTCTTGTTGCTCACAGCCCCACTGGTGCATCTCAAAGCATTGGAAAGCCTGTGTCAACCAGATGCCGCTTGCGACGTCCACTTCAAAGTCGCGGCCTCAGAGCCTTCGGCATTGTTTCAGGTGCTCACACCTCAGAACCTCCAATCCAGTGCAACGACCTCTTCCGAGGCTTACATCTTTAAACCCAATTGCTCCAATGTTGGCGCTGTAGGCTTGCTACTCCATCCCGTATGGCACGGATGGCAGGGGCCTGAGCTTGCGAGCTGAGGATGACTTGGAGTGGGGGTGTGCGTGTGTGTGTGTGTGTGTGTGTGTGTGTGTGTGTGTGTGTGTGTGTGTGTGTGTGTGTGTGTGTGTGTGTGTGTGTGTGTGTGTGTGGGTGTGTGTGTTGGGTGTGTGTGTGTTGGTTGTGTGTGTGTTGGTTGTGTGTGTGGTTGTGTGTGTGTTGGTTGTGTGTGTGTGTTGGTTGTGTGTGTGTGTTGGTGTGTGTGTGTGTGTGTGTGTGTGTGTGTGTGTGTGTGTGTGTGTGTGTGTGTGTGTGTGTGTGTGTGTGTGTGTGTGTGTGGTGTGTGTGTGTGTGTGTGTGTGTGTGTGTGTGTGTGTGTGTGTGTGTGTGTGTGTGTGTGTGTGTGTGTGTGTGTGTGTGTGTGTGTGTGTGTGTTGTGTGTGTGTGTGTGTGTGTGTGTGTGTGTGTGTGTGTGTGTGTGTGTGTGTGTGTGTGTGTGTGTGTGTGTGTGTGTGTGTGTGGTGTGTGTGTGTGTGTGTGTGTGTGTGTGTTGTGTGTGTGTGTGTGTGTGTGTGTGTGTGTGTGTGTGTGTGTGTGTGTGTGTGTGTGTGTGTGTGTGTGTGTGTGTGTGTGGTGTGTGTGTGTGTGTGTGTGTGTGTGTGTGTGTGTGTGTGTGGTGTGTGTGTGTGTGGTGTGTGTGGTGTGTGTGTGTGTGTGTGTGTGTGTGTGTGTGTGTGTGTGTGTGTGTGTGTGTGTGTGTGTGTGTGTGTGTGTGTGTGTGTGTGTGTGTGTGTGGTGTGTGTGTGTGTGTGTGTGTGTGTGTGTGTGTGTGTGTGTGGGTGGGTGGGTGGGTGGGTGGGTGGGTGGGTGGGTGGGTGCGTGGGTGGGTGGGTGGGTGCGTGCGTGCGTGCGTGCGTGCGTGCGTGCAGAGTGTTTGAGGATGTCTCCAAACTGCCAGGACTACGAAGAGTCCTGAACCATTAAGCTGCAGGTCGTCCCAATCTGCTCCTGGCGGGGACGCGCGCCTGCGTTCCCGAGAACACGCCGAGCTGGCGTTGTTGCGTGGCCTTCGGGTCGAGGGTGACGGGCAGCATCTCAACTCAAACGGTTTCCCCTTTTTGGGGGTCCCTTTCAGGGGAATATTTAAGGGGAATATATTCTATTTGGGGCATAAGAGGGGTACCCGATTACCTCTATCTTGGAAAATGCCCAAGTAGGCCCCGGGAGCTCCCCCGAACGTCGCGCGGCCAGGTCGTGCCCTTGTGATGAGGACTTCGAATACCAATGTGGGCCGCCTTATGTCTCAGGGTTTGTCTTGATGTATTATATACAAGTATATGTATATGTCTATGTCTATGTCTATGTATATGTTTATGTATATGTGTAGGTATATGTATACGTATACACATATATATATATAGTTACTGCATATAGCGGCTTCGAAAGCAGGAGGTCAGGTTCTATAGGGGTGAACTTGAACGGCCTCACAGGGATGCTAGGGGTTGAGGGATCCTTGGGGTTTAGGTTTAGGGTTTAGGGTCAGGGTTTAGGGTTTAGGGCTTAGGGTCTAGGGGTAAGAGGCTTAGTTTGTGTCTTTGGGTTTGGGATTTCGGGTTGAGGGAGCATTGCAGTGTAGGGTTTGGGGCTTCGGGCGCTGAATTTAGGACCCTGCCGTCTGCAGTGGCGCTCACGGCTAGGGGGGTTGCCACAAAGTAGGGGGACTTTTACCTAGTGATAGCAGGGGATGATCGTATTTTGAAGGGGGATCCCGGAAGTTCTTGTTTCTGGAGAAGGGAGCTCTAAGTTCTTTTGCTCTCCTAACACCCCTACAACCCGGGTTGAGGGTCGAGGGTTTAGGATTTAGCAGGGTTGAGGATTTAGGGTTTAGGGTTGAAGGTTTAGGGTTCAGGGTGTTGGGGTGTAGGGTTTGAGGGTTTAGCTATGTGAGCCCTAAGCATGGTTCGGGCTGCATCTTCCGCGGAAGCCAAGAGGGGATCGAAACCTTTCGAACTCCTCCCCCAACCCCAAACACGAAACCCGACAACCTCAAGCCCTCAACCCCAAAAATCCTAAGCCCTAAACCCTCAACCCTAAACCCCAAACCCCAAACCCTAGACCCGTCGTGGGTGTTGGGTGTGTTGGGGTGCGCTTTTTTTTTTGTTTTTGGTTTTTTTTTTGTGCCAAGGCGTCCACGCCCGTGCCGTCTTTTGCAAGGCAAAAGTCTCTGGCCCCTGTCCTTTGCATCTGGGCTCAGTGCTTTAAGGGGTTTAGGGTTTTAGGGTTTTTTGGTTTTTTTGGGCTAAATCCCGAATTTCGGGTTTAGGGTTTAGGGTTAGGGTCTGGGGTTTAGGGTTTAGGGTTCGGGTTTCAGGGTTTTGGGGTTTAGGGTTGAGGATTTGGGGTTTCAGGGTTTAGGGTTGAGGGTTGTATGGTTTGAGGGTTTGTAGCTTTTTTTGTGTTTGCTTAGGGTTTTCAGGTTCTGCTGGTCGGCCCGAAGCCCAAAACCCAAAGCCCCAAGCCCTAAAACCCAAAACCCAAAACCGGAATCTGCACGACTGGGCCTGAGCCCTAAACCTGAAAAGCCCTGATCCTCCTGAGGGTCTAGGGTTCCTGAGGTCGTGTGCGACTGACGAGCGCCTTGGCAAAGCTTGGGGCAACCTTCCTGCCCCTTGGGGGGATGCGTGTGGAAACATCCCCCTGAGATTCACGCAACTAAGAGTTTTAACCCCTAAACTCTTAAGCTCTTAAACTCTTAAACTCTTAAACTCTTAAACTCTTAAACCCTCATTAAACTTTTGAACCCTTACACGCTTAAGCCCGTAAGCCCTCAACCGTAAGCCCTACGCATCAGGATTCTATGCCGGTCTCCGAGCTTTTCGGACCGCCAAGCAGGGAGTTAGCAATGCTCTGTGCAGCGGTTGTTGGGTTTAGGGATTAGGCATGAGGGTTTAGGGTTCAGGGGGCTTCCGAAATCCGAAATAAGGGACCCCGAGTATGAATATAAACAGTAGGATTCTCTGATAATAAGGGCCCCCAAGAAGGTACACCTGATTTCGGAAACCCCCCACATAAGTTTGTAAAGTCTAAATGGTGTAGAGGGCTTAGGGTTACTAGTATGATGCATAGAAAAACACAGCGCTGTTCGTAATAGTAGTCGTTAGTGCAAGAGTCAAAATGAAAGCGAAGGATAGATACTACCCACACATGTGCATGTATCCCTACTGATGGATGTATATATCATCTAGATGACTTTGTCTTTCTTCATGTATATGCAGTTTAGGTTGCGCACCACCCTCAGAAGTAGGAGTGGTATTGGTAGGAACCTGTGGAGTTCACGACTGTTGCTCATCAGTTCTGGTCGCTGTAGCTTTGACTACCACCCTTGCGTGCATGAGATGTTGCACACTGACAATAAGATTCACCAAACCGGTTTGCAGTTCGCCAGACCTCCTAGAAAAAACAAAGTACCATAATCCCATCTGCCTAATATTACGAAATGTGTTTTTATGATTAGGGGGATGTTTTTGTCCAAATGTCACATTTGGGGTCTAAAGGGTTAAGGGTCTAGGCTTCAGGCTTTGGAGGGTTTAAGCAACTACTTAATGGGTGCAAAAAGAGAGAGAGAGAGAGAGAGAGAGAGACCAGCTCACGCAACACAGCAAGGCTCAGACAGAGGCTTTGATTGGCTTGAGGGTTTTGGGAGCCCTGAACCCACCCCCTAGTTCGGAATAGGTTTTAAAAGGCGGGGTCGGTTTCGGCAGGATTTTCCGGAAAGTGTTTTTATAATTTGGGGGTATTTAATAAGAGGGGGAAGTGATAACACACCCGGGACCCTAAACCCTGAATTCGCTGCATCACAGATGCCACGGGGTGCGGCATCACGCCCGGATCATACTGAAGCAGGGTTTATATTACTGTTATTGGTGAGTGTATATAAGGTTCCTTTTTAATATTGGTGAGTGTATGTACCTGGTGTCTGGGGGTACAAGAAATGTATGCCCTACTTCATATACTTGCATACAAGTATTCATGCTTATACATACATATATATATATATATATCTATATATAAAACATAAAATATATACATGGATGTATGTATGTATGTATGTATGTATGTATGTATGTATGTATGTATGTATGTATGTATGTATGTATGTATGTATGTATGTATATGGATGTATGGATGTATGGATGGATGGATGTATGTATGTATGTAGATGCATAGAATGTTCATGGTCTTACGGCAAGCAGGGGCGGAGGCATGTTACAGTGTTTGCACCGGTTGCTGGGCTGCAGACCTGCAGCAGGACGGTGTCGGGGCCAATGACACGATGCTGAGCTGCCATGCGCGGGACGCAGGTGCTCGCCACGTCAGCTTCCACTCTTCAGCCCCAAATCCGAACCCCTAAAATTAAAACCCAAAACCCTATGCCCCATGGATGATCCGAGTCTGCGATGTAGATGTCACCGGAAGGGGCCGGTGCAGAGTTGCGCGTGGCTTCGTGTTGTAGCATTCGGATGCACACCATGCACACCTCTGCCCTTGAGACGTAAGTCATAATCTCTCATCCCTGAAGCCTGGATCATCTCGGTCGGTTGCCTCCTCGATCTGCAGGCTGCCCGTGCCATCCCACTTGGGAGCAGCGATGCAGCTTCCAGGACCAGCACTTCTGTGTCCCGAAGACTCAGCCCTGTACCTTGCCTTGTTTGGGGTCGGTTATACGAAGCCTCGTCAGACAGGCCCGCGGCAGGCAGATCAAGACCTATCTTCAGGGTTTGAAGAACAAGTATATTTTTTCGTATGATCGGCTGAACGCGCTGAAATGTACAGCGCGAGGGGCGCGCTCTTTTCCAATCAGTGCATGCTTGCTTCATAAACAGCACAGACTATGACGATGTATGCAAGCAGACCCCAACCCCTGCGCGTCTTTAAGCTGTGCTAGTTGCTTGAAACGACATGGGATTCCATCAGCAGAAGCCTCCGCAAAATCCGTATGACTTCTTTCAACACACCACTCACTCCATTCGCAACCCATCGCACGGTTCGTATGGTCGCAAAAATTGGCTCCCGCCCCAATGCCTTCTCTCTCTAAGTCGTGTTTGCTTGTTTCAACAAATCAGAGCAAAGATCATCATGGTTGAGAGGTGTTGAAAGACGACGGCCCTCTTTTAGCATTTTCGTCGTGTGTACATGTTGTCAAGACATCCTACCATACTATGATTTCAAAGTAGAAGCTCCCAACCCTGCCCGCGCTTTCTTTTTTGCGCCGTCCATGCTTCGCATGCCACTCACATACATCTCTTCAATCCCCAATATGAGCCTTTTACAACACTGAGCTCATCCTTGACTTTCTCCTTTGAGCCTTCGCCAGAATGTCTCTAGCCCAGCCTCAAGAATGAACACCCGCCTCTGTCAGAGACATACCGAGGTCCACTGGACTGCGGCGTCCATGCCCGGTGCCAGCATGCATCTGGCAGCCTGGTTCTGGAAGTGAAGGTTGTAGCAGCACGTAGATCTGGAGTGTCGCGAAAACCCTAAACCCTAAACCCTAAACCCTAAACCCTAAACCCTAAACCCTAAACCCTAAACCCTAAACCCTAAACCCTAAACCCTAAACCCTAAACCCTAAACCCTCGTTGAGGAGTGAGGGCTTTAAGGACCCGAGGTGGACTTCTGCAGCTGCAATGCTTGCTCCAGGTTTTGGGCCATAACGGATATAGGAGAAAGAACAGGGAGTAGCTCACGGGCTTTCGGGCCCACGGCGTACTATGGCTTTTAGGGTTTCGGGTTTCGGGTTTAGGGTTTATGGGTTTAGGGGTGTTCTATCTCCTCCAAACTCGAATCCCAAAGCTGGGGACCCAGCTCGAGACCGGCGAGGCAACGTCAGCTGCGCCCAGGCCCTCGGCTGCAGGCCTCCGTTGGTTTAGGGTTTAGGGCTTGGGGTGGATAATGCTGATTTTAGGTGTACTTATAAGCCCCCCGAAGTCCCTTAAGTCCCCTGAGTAGGTTATAAGTAGACTCAGAATTGGGGCTATAAGCAACCATGAACCTCCAAGTACTAGCTCTTCGTGGGGAACTAGGGAATTTGGGTGCCTTATGTCCCTGCAACATTAAGGGGCTGCATTAGGGTACCTCGTTGGCCGTTCACTACTAAGAACCAGACCGACAGCTGTCGGAGCTGTCGACTGCAAAGCCACATGTTGTGCGAGACCTGAAGCTTGGGGTCAAAAGGTGCTATGATATTTAGTTGAAGGCTTCGATAGGGGTCTAGGATTTTTGGATTGGCGGTTTGGTGCGTTTTGTCTGTATGTGTCAGGGTCGAGGGAGTTGATGAGTGATCGCTCCCTCCGCGAGCAGGTGCGAAGACAACGAGCACGAGTGCTGGAATCAGGACTGGCCATCTGACATATCTTGGTCTTGGCGTGCGTATCGTTTGCCCTACAGCCTAAAAAGCACCGAAGGCCTTAACGTTACAAACGAGACGGTTCCAACAGCGGGGGATGTGTAGATTCTTTCGAAGCTACAATTTTTCTGGTTCCGCAACCTCGATATCGCCGATCCTACCCCTTCAACCCCAGAATCTGCAGTGGTTTGGCAGGGTTGAGGATTGGCGGTTTGGGGTATAGGGTTTAGGGTTTAGGGTTGAGGAGAGGGTGGGAGTGGGTGGGGCATGGAAATACGCGGCAAACCAAAGAACGCCTCTCTGCACTCCGTCGCCGATATAGATGAATTTCGCTTGGGTGTTCTCGGGTAGATCCTTGGGCCCTCTTGCTGGTTCTTAGTAGTGACTGAGGGAATGAGGTACCCTATATTCCCCTATACATACCCTTTAAGGGATTATACAGGGTACCTCATTCCCTCATTCCCTACTACGAACCAGGTGCCCTCAAGGGAGGGGTTTCAAGCATACCCCCAGCTACTCCCTAAAACTCCCAAGCTTTTCCCTAAGGTTTTGTAAGTACCTACCCCCCATGAACCCCCCTCCCTTCAGGACCCTTGAAGTAGACATCCATGTAAACCCTGTAAACCTTGTAAATCCTGTAAACCCTGTAAACCCTGTAAACCCCTTTAAACCCTGCAATCCTCCAAACCCTATGAGACCCTATGAGCCCTAGAGCTGCTGTAAGTCAGCGCGTGGCCAGGAGACGAACTCGACTGAGTGCTTTGCGAAGGCTGCTGGGCATTATTTGCTGTCGGGATCTGAGGGTTTAAGATTCAGGGTTTCGGGAACCCTGAACCCTCAACCCTCAACCCTCAACCCTCAACCCCAAACCCTAAACCCTAAACCCTAAACCCTAAACCCTAAACCCTCAACCCTAAACCCTCAACCCTAAACCCTAAACAGCCGTCAGAGTCGACCCACAGCCCCATCATGCCTTCCTCCTGCAAGGAGTGGTATGACGGCTGTCCGCCGTCCGCCTCCTGCCCCGAGGGCCTGGAGCTCTGCCCCCTGGTGTCTTTCCAGGAGGGAAGACCGCGCCCCGGCGTGCTGTCCTCTAAAGCCAGAAGCCCGGCAAAGCCCACAATTGTAAATGTTTCATTGTAAGCGCTTGCGCGCGCCGCCTCGGCAGCCGGGCCGGCAAAACAGGAAAGGTTTCGCAAAAAAAGGGGAGGAAGGAGCGGGGTTAAAGGGGGGGGAGGGGGGGAGGGGAGGGGGGTGAGGCACTTGGCCTGTAGGAGCCACCGACAGCGCGACCCTCCACGGCATCGGTTTGCAGCTCCTCCAAGCGATTGGGGGGGGTCCCACAGGGCGGGGGGGGGGGTGGCGTCACAAAATTTTGGCCCGATCCGGGTCTGCTTGTTCCAGACGCTTCTCGGCAGGAAGCCGAGGCGAATTTTTTATGACATCTTCATCTGGTTTGTAGCAGTATATTCGTATCTGTATCCATCCTAAAGACTTCTTAGAGCAAGAGCTCGAAGGTTCCTCCATAGGCGTAGGGAAAAAAATGACGAAGCCGCACCCGACAAAAAAGGCACCGATCGGAGATTTGCGCGGCCACGGTGGGCGGCGCCTGCCCGGTCCTCTGCGAGAACGCTTCAGCGCAGAAGCCTCCCGGCCGTTCCAAAATTTTGAAAAGCGTTTCTACCACGGTAACCATAGCGATGGTTGGACAGTTCGCAGCACATTATGCCTAAGTCAAATGCAGCGCAGGCTTACAGCGTTCTTAGATAACAAGGTCGGGCGGGCGGCGGGCTGCGGGCGTTCAGTCATGAACACGGAGTAAGGGCTCGAGGGTAGTAGGTTCACGAGAACTGTGACCAGGACTGACGAGACATAGGATTTTAACCTCTGACGAACAGTCAGCCTCAGCCTAGTGGCCAGCCCCGCACAATAAGTGAGCCATAGCGAGCCCCAGCAGTGATGGTATCGATTCAACACCCGAGCCCCAAGCCGCGTCTTTCCAACTGGAGACTTGCTCGTCATCTTTTGTTCCTGGGAAAGTCGTCATGAGCTCGCTCAGAGTTGGCCTCAGTTGAAAGGTTCCGAGGTACTGGCGGAAGCCCCAAGTGCTGACCCCTGAGAATCAGGTGCATGGGCGCGGGCAACCAGGAGTTTTGCATCGACCTCCTGGACAGCTGCCCGAAGACCTGCGCGGAAGGTGAGCAGCTTTGCTCGGTGGATCCTTGGCAGAGTCGCGCACTTTTTTTGGTCAACTTCGCGCCCGGAGCGATGCCCCACTCCTTCCAGCCCTGCAAACCATATTCCTTTCTGAGGGAAAGCTTCAAGGGCCATAAACCCTAAACCCTAAACCCTAAACCCTAAACCCTAAACCCTAAACCCTAAACCCTAAACCCTAAAGCCGAGTCTCAATCATAACCAAGTAGGTAAAGCCGACGTCAGCGTCAGTTCCTCTAGCTTCTTCCCATGGTTCTGCTCTGATGGGGCCTTGGTTCTGAGCTTACCGATGTGGGTTTGGGGTTTTGGTTAAGGGTTTCGGGTTGAGGGTTTGGGGTTTAGGGTTTAGGGTTTAGGATTTAGGGCTTAGGTTTCTGAGTTTGGGGCGTTGCCGGGTCCTTAAAGTCTGCCCCCCAGGAGAACATGGATGCGCAGGGCCGCGTGCTCGTGACCTCCATGCTTTGTCCCCTGGCCCGACTGCCGCTTCTTCGTAGGGAATGAGGGAATGTGGTACCCTATATCCCCTATAGAAGCCCTTCAAGGGATTATTTGGGGTGCCCTATATAGTCTGTAAGGGGATCACCCGCCCCGACTCCCCACCTAAACCCTAAACCCTAAACCCTAAACCCTAAACCCTAAGCCCTAAACCCTAAACCCTGAACCCTAAACCCTAAACCCTAAACCCCAAACCCTAAACCCTAAACCCCAAACCCCACAACCCTGAACCCGAACCGTCCCTGAGGCGTCCCTTCCTCGGATCCATGCCCCTGTGGCCAGAACGCCTGGAGTTGCGGCCAGTTCTGCGCTCCTGCCCCCTTGGCTGCTGTTTTTTTTTTTTTTTTCTCGGGATTTTCTGGAGGGGGGGGTTTAGGGTTTGGGGTTTAGGCTTTAGGGTTGGAGGTTTCGGGTTTTGGGTTCAGAGTTCGATTCAGGGTCCAGGGGTTTTAGGGTTTAGGGTGGTTTAGGAGGCATTAGGCCGAGTTTTGCGTCGTGGTCTGTGGGCTTTGGAGAGCAGGCGAAGGCGTAAGAGTTCCCCACAGTTTTCTCTTGGGCCAGGTGCCTAAACCCTAAACCCTCAACCCTAAACCCTAAACCCTAGACCCTAAGCCCTAAACCCTAAACCCGAAACCCGAGGACCTTCAAGAAACCTCACCCTCGACTCCAACTTGCATGGGTGCACACGTTGATAGGAGTGGCCTGGTGCAAAACCTTGTCAAAAACCCTAAGGCCCCTAAACCCCAAACCCTAAACCCTAAACCCTAAACCCTAAACCCTAAACCCTAAACCCTAAACCCTAAACCCTAAACCCTAAACCCTAAATCCTAGACCCTAAACCCTAAACCCTAAATCCATCGAAGCCGAGCCGCCGAGCGACCCAAGGTCTCTGATGGCTGCCCTGGCACCTGCGAGGCTGGCAAGGCCCCTTCTGCTGTTTTAGGGTTAAGGGAGGAAGGTTTAGGGTTTAGGGTTTAGGGTTTAGGGTTTAGGGTTTAGGGTTTAGGGTTTAGGGTTTAGGGTTTCGGGGTTAGGGGTTAGGGGTTAGGGTTTAGGGTTTAGGGTAACAGGGGAGGCTTGTGGCTTGTGGGCTTGAGGCTTGAGGGTTGTTTGGGTATTTCTTTTTTTGTTTGGTTTTGCTTCTATTTGTGTTTTTCGCTTCTAGGGTCACGGATTCGAGGGCTTTGGGGTATTGAGGGTGTTTTCGTCTAGGGTATTCAGGTTGGGATGTTCCCCCTTCTACTGACAGTCCTTACTAGGGGTTGTAGTACCCCCTAGTATAATCACTATGAAGGATTGTTAGTTAGTATAAGGGGGAACATCCCAAGGGTCCCCTTTTTAACCCCTTAAATGGTATACATGGGGAAAGGGCACCTTATTCCCTCAGTGCCTACTATATTCAGGGTTCCAACGGACTTCCGTGTGGTGGGGTGTCCACTATGGCTGGCCGCGGCGCAGGGTTGAGCGGAGGCAACCCTAAACCCTAAACCCCAAACCCCAAACCCAAAACCCAAAACCCTAAACCCTAAACCCTAAACCGTAGAGGTGTGTTAGGCTCAGAGAAGGATGTGGGTGTAGGGCGCTATCTCACTCTCTGGAGGCAGTGGGTCGAAGCTGCCGTGGTGCTCTGCGGCCTACACCCAAAACCCCTATACTCCAAAAACCGAAGACCTTTAATGCCGGGGTTCTTAATATGTAACCCAAGGTTCCCTGACACTCGCCACTACTCCCTGAGGATACCCTAAACTTCCTGAAGGTACCCGAGGTACCTACCCCCCAAGAACCCCTTGTTTTAGGAACCCTATGATCGGCATGTTGCCGAGCTGTTCTTACTAGGGAAGGGAGACTGCGGTACCCTATATCATTTCAGGGTAGATACAAGCCCTTTTTAATCTCTCTGGGTTTTTAAAATCCCTTTAAGGGGATATATGGGGGGATATAGGGTGCCTCATCCCCTCCTTCCGTACTAAGAACCAGCCAGTATCAGCCAGTCTTGGGCAGGTCTGTCTTCCCGTGTCCTACACCGTGGAAGGTGGGACTGTCGTGCGTTGATAGCAGGTTGACCGACGTCGGGAGCAGCTTGCCTTCTGGAAGAATCCCAAGTTCCTAGACAGCCTAAATCCTAAAATCCTAAAATCCTAAACCCTAAGCCCCAAACCCTAAACCCTAAACCCTAAACCCTAAACCCTAAACCCTAAACCCCAAACCCTAAACCCTAAACCCCGAAACCCCTAAACCCCTACACCCCTAAACCCCTAAACCCCAAGCCCCTGAAAGCCCAGAGCCTGCCACCTCTCTGTGGAGGCATGTACAGGCCCAACTCATCTGCGGTTGCGGGCTGCATCGGCTCATCCCAGCCTGGGCCTCGGTGAGCCCCTAAACCCTAAACCCTAAACCCTAAACCCTAAACCCTAAACCCTAAACCCTAAACCCTAAACCCCAAACCCTAAACCCCAAACCCTAAACCCCAAACCCTAAACCCAGATTTTTTCATTTCATGGGAGCGGCATCGATATATTTTCTTTCATCTCTAACATCATAAAGGGACTAGAAATCTCGCAATGTTGCCCATGATGATCCAAATTTCTTGAGATATCATATAGACACAAATCTTGACAATTGACTATATCCATTACGAAGTCGAAGAATCAAGAAGGATCATGACAACCCGAATATTGCAAGAAGATATATACCCTCAATTCATACTGCAATCTAGACTAGACAATACTGAATCATTCCTCCTAGTAAGGGAGGCCCGGGAGGTTCATGGGGGGTAGGTACCTAAGGAACCTTCGGGAAGTTTAGGGAGCCTTGGGGAGTAGTGGGGAGTGACATGGAACCTTAGGATACATACCCCCCCCCTGAACCCACCTCCCTCAAGTCCTTTCCTTCTATTAGAACCATATTTTTTCATGAATGACACTCGGTTCATAGATGAAGATCCGTTCAGTCCTATGGGTGAGAAAGTTCTCACCTTATCCCTTCATGACTTTGCATTTGTACATCTATAGTTAATGGCTTTAGTCTCTTCTGATGATATGGGAATGTCTAGCAAGAATCTTCTCTAAACCCTAAACCCCAAACCCCAAACCCTAATTTGCAGCTCTAGTGTCTGCGCCGCTGTAGGGAGAGTCGGGCAGAGGGACCCTTGTGGGGTTGAGAGCTGTGCAGGTCCTGCCAGTGTGGAGAGAACGCGCAGCTCTGCATGTGGGCTGCCACCGGACTTCAACTACCCTTGAATAAAGAGTTTAGGGTTTAGGGCTTAGGGCTTCTACACCCTACTATTTGTGGGTACAGTCTAGTTGGGGGACTACAACATCAAGAGTTTATGTATGTCGGTTTTTGCATGCCTGAAAAAGCTACAAGGATGTTCTCAGAGACAGCAGCAGGAAGGCTTTTTGCGTCATGGATGCCAGCCAACAGGAATGCTTTTGTTGTTGTGTGTGTGTGTGTGTGTGTGTGTGCACCCTGATTCTAAGCTAAGGGTTTTTGGAAAGTCTTTGAGGCTTGGCCGGATATTTCGTACAGAAGACTGACGGAGAATGTATTTTATGCAGGGGGCGCGAGGTCCTTTGACATAGCTCGCGCCAACGAAGCTCTATGTCATCGGGCAGGAAAACGTACCTGCGCGTGGAGTACCTGGGCAAGTTGTTGCAGCTGGTATCCACTATACTGCTTGTGACATCATGTACCCTCAAAACCCGGAATCCTCGGTCCTCAAACAATTTCAAGTCCGAACGCTCCAGATGGCTTGCACCTTGGGACATCGGCGCCTTGGTTTGCACAGCTACGTAAAGAACAGCTCAACTACCGCACAGCCTTGTCTCCCTTCAACCTTTTTTCGGTTTGGTCATGTAGTAAACATACACACTCAGTGCAGCGTTTGAAGTGCTGTGGGTGTGGGCCCTCAGTGTGTGTGTGTGTGTGTGTGTGTGTCTGTGTGTGTGTCGAATGCATTAGTACTCCTACTACTTCATTCTCATCAACATGCATGAGATCTTCGGACAGGGAAGCCAATGAGAGTTTACTCTCTTATCTCCGTGTGTGGCCTTGTTGCCAATCGCAGTTATCCCGCGAGGGAGCTGTACGGGTCGTTGTGCGACTCATCATGGTACCATGGAGGCCCAATAACCTAGCAGGTTGGGTCGAGAGGCCTAGTGCCACGCATGGAGCCCACTAGACCGCTTTCGAGCGATGAGTAACTTTTAGGTGGATGGGCAACAGAGGGCTAGTCCCAAGAGCAAAAATGGTGGGACTTAGCACCCGTGTGGCCCGAGGTGGGGCCTAATGGAGGTCCTCCGGACCGCAATAGAGGCCTCAGCGCCAATGGAATTTTTGGATGGATTGGTGATGCTCGGCTCCTTTAGCCTTTTCTGTTCCTTTAGTTGATAGGATCTGTGACGAACCGGAAAAATAAACCGCATGCTTGGCTATCCCCTCTGACGGAGGGGCGTGTGTGTGTGCACCCTGATTCTAAGCTAAGGGTTTTTGGAAAGTCTTTGAGGCTTGGCCGGATATTTCGTACAGAAGACTGACGGAGAATGTATTTTATGCAGGGGGCGCGAGGTCCTTTGACATAGCTCGCGCCAACGAAGCTCTATGTCATCGGGCAGGAAAACGTACCTGCGCGTGGAGTACCTGGGCAAGTTGTTGCAGCTGGTATCCACTATACTGCTTGTGACATCATGTACCCTCAAAACCCGGAATCCTCGGTCCTCAAACAATTTCAAGTCCGAACGCTCCAGATGGCTTGCACCTTGGGACATCGGCGCCTTGGTTTGCACAGCTACGTAAAGAACAGCTCAACTACCGCACAGCCTTGTCTCCCTTCAACCTTTTTTCGGTTTGGTCATGTAGTAAACATACACACCCAGTGCAGCGTTTGAAGTGCTGTGGGTGTGGGCCCTCAGTGTGTGTGTGTGTGTGTGTGTGTGTCTGTGTGTGTGTGTCGAATGCATTAGTACTCCTACTACTTCATTCTCATCAACATGCATGAGATCTTCGGACAGGGAAGCCAATGAGAGTTTACTCTCTTATCTCCGTGTGTGTGTGTGTGTGTGCGCGCACGCGCACGCGCCCCCCTGTGCGCGTGCGAGCTTGCATGTGCGCGTGGACGTGTGTGCTAGTTGCTTGGAGGTTCAGGGCACTCATAACCCCGATTACACCTAGCTTCTAAACCCCCCTAAGTCCCTTAAGTAGGGGGGGGAGGGGAAAAAGATGTGTTTATCGGTTAATATTTGGGTATGGGACCCTGAACTCTAAACCCTATACCCTAAACCCTGAACCCTAAACCTTGAACCTTAAACCCTAAGCCCTGAACCCTGAAAGCTAAATCCTAAACCCTAAACCCCAAAACCAGTTGAGGACAGCATGGGGCCCCTCGGCCCATCTTGGAGACTGCTTTCGGCCTTCTTGGGGCTCTTTGTTTCTACCTTTAGGGAGGGGGGGTGTTTAGGGTTTCGAGTTGTGAGCTCATGAGATGTCCTGGATCATTAAGAATAACTATATGTACCCAGACTTACTTGCATTAAGATAATCAAGATGAAGCCAGCTGAGCTAAAATGGACCTTGGGAAATGGAATTCAGTTGGAAATTGAACTCAAGTTAAGGTCTAGGTGGTGATTTCTGAAATTGAATTGACTGCAAGCATTCAATTTCAGAAATTGACCTGTTTTCTGAGGCTGGAATCTGAAAACCTTGCCCGAGACCATATACACCACCCCCAAAAGACCCCCTACATCCCTCCAAGAGACCGTACACCCCCCCAAAGACCCCAACATACCCCCTACATCCCCCCCAAAACACTCAGCAGGCAGGAGCACGAGGAGTGCCGCGCGACCGCAGCGGCCTGTCCGGTGACCTGCGCGGGCGCGCTGTGCAATCTGGCAGCTTCTTGGCCTGGGGTTTAGGGTTTAGGGTTTAGGGTTTCGGGTTTAGGGTTTAGGGTCCACCCATCCCCAGATTTGGGGTTTGGGGCTATGAGCTATGGGTTTTTAGGGTTTAGGGGTTAAGGTTGAGGGTTTAGGGTGTTATGAGCTGTGAACCCGAAACAGTGAACCCTCGGCTTTGTCTAGGTCTAGGTTTTATAGCTCAGGGGCTTAGGGTTTAGGGTTGGACCCTGAACCCAAACTCCACATCGACCCCCCCCAGGACTACAGGGTCAATGGAGCTGTAAAAGGCTCGCGAGAGCTCTGCCTGTCTGATGGCAGCGACTGCCCCTGCGGTGAGAATGCGCTGCAGTGCCGCTTCGAGCAGGACCGATGTCCCCAACCCGAAAAATTGAAACCCTAAACCCCAAGACCATAAACCCTAAACCCCAAACCCCAATCCCTAAACCCTAAGCCCTGAAGCCCCCATAAGCCGCTTGAAGCCCAAAACCCTAAACCCTGAGACGCCAAACCTCAAACCCCGCAAGCCCCCAAAACCCCAAGGGCCAATTGTCGGGCACGAGTTCTTTTGATGTTTGAGGTTCCCTTCCGGCCTTTGGGGGTGCTTCAGGGTTCAGGGTTCAGGGTTCAGGGTTTAGGGTTTAGGGTTAGGGTTTAGGGTTTAGGGTTCGGGTTGAACTTGCCAAGCCGCACTATCTGATCCAAACTTCAACGGTCCAGCCCCAAGACCCGAACCCCAAAACCCAAACCCTAAACCTGAAACTCTAAACCTTCAACCCTGAGCCCTGAACCCTAAACCCTAAACCCTAAACTCCCCGACCCCTTCGATGCGGAGCCCTAAACCCTAAACCTCCATAAGCTAGGATTCAGGATGGTTAAGGGCGTAGAGTTTAGGGTTTAGGGTTTAGGGTTTAGGGTTTAGGGTTTAGGAGCCCCAAACCTATTGCCGGCGCAGGAGACATACTGCCTTCCGCGCTGGGACGCGGAGTCACAGAGCATCCGGCTTGCAAGTTCTGGGGTTTAGGGTTTAGGGTTTAGGGTTTGGGGTTTAGGGTTTGGGGTTTAGGGTTTAGGGTTTAGGGTTTAGGGTTTGGTGTGTCGGGCTTAGGGTTTCGAAGTTTTTGAAGGTGCTCCGATTGGACCCGAAGCCTTCGGCTCCCCACCCTGCCCTACACCCTGCAGCCTCCTTTGGGAACATAAATTCAGGAACCAAATACTTCAGTTTTTAGGGTTTAGGGATGGTTTAGGGTTTAGGGATCCCTCAACCCTAAACCCTAAACCCTAAACCCTAAACCCTAAACCCCTGTCAGCTCCAGGTCTTTCCCTCTGCCCGCTGGTGTGCGAGGAGGACGAGCAGAGGTGCTACGTCCCCAGCGGCCTGGCCTTGCACCCGGGCCTCAGCCCTACGACCTTAAACCCTGTTTTGAGCGTTGAGAGCAGCCATGTTGATCTCCATGGGGAGGTTGGCTCAGAAGCTGCTTGATGACCTTATCCCTGTAGTATTTGCGGCACTGCCACCGGCTCAGAAGCTCTAATGGGACCTCTTTCCAGCAACGCGTTGCCATCGTCTGCGCCGTAGTCTGACTCTACTGCTCTTCGCATCAAAGTGGCCTTGAGCACTGAGGAACCAGAGTTAAGTGAGAATTCATGCGTGAGTTCCCTCAACCTTAAACCCCCAAACCCCAAACCCTAAACCCTAAACCCCTTAACCCTAAACCCTAAACCCTAAGCCCTAAACCCTAAGCCCTAAGCCCTAAACCCTAAACCCTAAACTCTAAGCCAAGAGACACGGCGCTCAAGTCCGAGGCTTTGACGCCCAAGGGGAGTTTCTCCGCACCGAGGAGATGTGCGAGCCTGGGTTCAAGTTGGTGGTGGGTTTAGGGGTCAGGGGTTTGGGGTTTGGGTTTAGGGTTTAGGGTTTAGGGATTAGGGTTTGATTAGGGTTTAGGGTATAGGCTTTGGGATAGGGTTTCGGGTTTAGGGTTCAGGGAAGAACGGAATTCGGTACAGTACCGTTTATCCTTCGGTATGACTCTTCAAGGGGTGATACTGAGTATAAAGAAAGCCTTTCCTCCCAAATTCCCCCCCTCGGAACCAGGTAGGGTTGAGGGTTTCGGGTTCAGGGTTTATATAGGGTTTAGGGTTCATAGTTTAGGATTTAAGGTTTCAATGCTTAAACCCTAAACCCTAAACCCTAAACCCTAAACCCTAAACCCTAAACCCTAAACCCTAAACCCTAAACCCTAAACCCTAAACCCTAAACCCTAAACCCTAAACCCTAAACCCTAAACCCTAAACCCTAAACCCTAAACCCTAAACCCTAAACCCTAAACCCTAAACCCTAAACCCTAAACCCTAAACCCTAAACCCTACACCCTACACCCTAAACCCTAAACCCTAAACCCCAAGCAGCCCGCAGGTGCCCAAAGATCGCCCCTGCGGTTGTGGAGCGGGGGCCTTTGAATGCAACTACACCGACGCTCCTCGGCTGGGTTTGTTGTTTTGGTTCTAGGGTTTGGGGTTTGGGGTTTAGGGTTTGGGGTTTGGGGTTTAGGGTTTTAGGGTTTAAGGTTTAGGGTTAGGGTTTCAGGGTTTCAGGGTTTAGGGTAGGGCTTAGGGGTTCTGAGTCTGTTTTAGGGTTCGGGCTCAGGGGGTTCAGCGAGTTTAGGGCGTGTTTTTGTTTTTGATGGCGGGGGGAGGTTGAATGTGTTTAGGGCTTCAGGCTTTTCAGGGTTCCGGCTACAGGAATCCTAGGGTTGGATACATAAGGGGTATATAAGGGGTCTCCTGGGCCCATTTTACGGGGCCATGTAACTACCCTAAGATGTTTATAGGGTTCTTAAGTAGAAAGCCTTAAGGGGAAGCTTCGGGAGGCTTAGGGGGTAGTGGGGAGTACCAGGGAACCTTTGGTTACATACCCCCCTTGAGCCCCCCTCCCTTAAGAACCCTATATCCTTCAGCCCTAAACCCTAAACCCTAAACCCTAAACCCTAAACCCTAAACCCTAAACCCTAGACCCTAGACCCTAGACCCTGAACCCGACTAATAGAATGTCGGGCTCACCCTATCATGGTGTTTTTTTTTTTGTGGGGGGGGGGGGGGGGGGGGGGGGCGGGGTCCTGGCACGCCGCGAGTGCCAAGGAAAGTGCCAGCTGGTCCGAGTGCCTGCCGTTGGTTGGAGGATGCCAGGGGTCCTAGGCCCTAAAACCCTAAACCCTAAACCCTAAACCCCAAACGCTAAACCCTAAACCCTAATTCCTGAACCCTAACCTAAACCTTACAGTTCAGAAAGTTTCGGAGGTCTTCGGCTCCCCAGCCCCCAAAAACCCATCAGAAGAAGTCTTGGAGGCTCATAAGCCCCAGAGGGGCCTCGGGCAAGAATGGGGTTTCGAGGATTTCGAGAGGGGATTTTGGGGTTTTCTTTAGGGTTTAGGGTTTAGGGTTTAGGGCTCGGGCAAGAAGTCAGTAGCCTTAGTCGCTTGGATCCCCTGTTAGACCCCCTGTGAGGTATGGGCAGCTAGAAGTTTCCTTGAGGCGTTTGTTTAGGGCTTGATGTTTGTTTTTTTTTGTTCTTCTCTCTCTCTCTCTCTTTCTCTCTCTCTTTCTCTCTCTCTTTCTCTCTCTCTTTCTCTCTCTCTCTCTCTCTGTCTCCTTGGCTTCAGTTTGAGAGTTCCTCCCTGCCCTCTCTTGAGTCGGGCTTCGGGTGCAGGGCTCGGGCCTGGAACCCAAGAACCCTAAAATTGCCAGGATATTGCCCGAGCTCCTCCTGTGCAGCCGGGGCGTGTCCCGCGGTGGTGGACTACCTGCCCAATGGCGAAGAATACGGTGGCCCGGACGGGTTTCTGGTCTCGGGTTTTCATGCTTCAGGGTGTGTAGGAAGCTGCAAGCAACAGCCCTTCGCAGAGAGCCGATGGCAAGCTCACACGCCCCCCCAAGGTCTCTCACCGCCGCCCCGGGCCTGCGCTACGGATTCCGGCTGCCTCTGTGGCCGCGAGGCCGGTTGAAGCTTGGAGTTTGGGGCTTAGGGTTTAGGGTTTAGGGTGGGTTTAGGGTTTAGGGTTTAGGGTTTAGGGTTCAGCATCTCAAGTCCAAGCATTCACTAGTCAAGCAATTACTCCAGGAAAATACCCACCCGCCCAAAGAATCCCACAACATTAAGAAAATATTTTACTTATAGAACGACCTTGCCCATGCCCAATAAAAAGGCGACCTTGCGCAGTAAAACAGCGACCTTGCCCAGTAAAACGGCGACCTTGCCCAATAAAACGGCGACCTTGCCCATTAAAACGGCGACCTTGACCAGTAAAACAGCGACCTTGCCCAGTAAAACGGCGACCTTGCCCAGTAAAACGGCGACCTTGCCCAGTAAAACGGCGACCTTGCCCAGTAAAACAGCGACCTTGCCCAGTAAAACGGCGACCTTGCCCAGTAAAACGGCGACCTTGCCCAGTAAAACGGCGACCTTGCCCAGTAAAACGGCGACCTTGCCCAGTAAAACGGCGACCTTCGGACACCCCCCCCTGCCCAGTAAAAATGCTACCTTCGGCCCCGAAGGTCGCCGTTTTACTGGGCAAGTTCGCCGTTTTACTGGGCAAGGTCGCCGTTTTTACTGGGCAAGGTCGATTTTGGTCAAAAAATCGACCTTGCCCATGAAACGGCGACCTTGCCCAGTAAAACGGCGACCTTCGGGGTCCAAGGTCGCATTTTTACTGGGCAGGGGCGGAAGGTCGCCGTTTTACTGGGCAAGGTTGCCGTTTTACTGGGCAAGGTCGCCGTTTTACTGGGCAAGGTCGCCGTTTTACTGGGCAAGGTCGATTTTTTTGACCGAACTGACCTTGCCCAGTAAAACGGCGACCTTACCCAGTAAAACGGCGACCTTGCCCAGTAAAACGGCGACCTTGCCCAGTAACTCCTTAACATTTAAAATATATATGAAAGAGAGGTTTAGGGTTTTGGGTTTAGGTGGTCGGGCTTGAACCTTCTGCAGCCTCGAGCCTTCAACTCGACCCCGAAACCTCCACACCCTAAAAAATCCTAAGCCAAAGAAAACCAAAAGACTCCCGTGGCACCCAAACCCTAAACCCTAAACCCTAAACCCTAAACCCTAAACCCTAAACCCTGAACCCTAAACCCTAAACCCTAAACCCTAAACCCTAAACCCTAAACCCTAAACCCTAAACCCTAAACCCGAAGCCCTTCCTGGGAGCCTGCAAGGCCAAGTGGTGCGCCTCCCTCGGCTGTATTTTCAAGGACGCCTCGACGACTTTTTCGGTTAAGGGGTTTAGGGTTTAGGGTTTAGGGTTTAGGGTTTAGGGTTTAGGGTTTAGGGTTTAGGGTTTAGGGTTTAGGGTCTAGGGTCTAGGGTTTAGGGTTTAGGGTTTAGGGTTTAGGGTTTAGGGTTTAGGGTTTAGGGTTTAGGGTTTAGGGTTTAGGGTTTAGGGTTTAGGGTGCAGCCATAGTCCGAGATCAGGGAAGGGCCCGTGGGTGTGTCGCAGAGCTTCGTTCAGGCCCCTCAACCCTGAGCCACTGGTCCGTGCACGGTTCGCAGTGTCTGCCTTGGCATGGCTTTGGGATGGGCTGCTCTCCAGGACAGCCCTTGTCCACTGCGGTGTGCGAGCTCAGAGAAGCTCTGCACACTCACGGACTACACAAGCAGCGGCACCATTGCAGGCCATCTTCCGCATGCGAAATCGGACCTTCTTTTGTTAGTCCTTGTTTACACCACCCAAGGTACCCAGGTTAACTTGTTAAACAAGAGCCCCTAAGCCCTAACAAGCCCTAAGCCCTGAAACCTGAACCCTGAGCCCGAAGCCCTAAGCCCTAAACCTCTAACCCCCAACCCCTGCCCTAAACCAAAAACCCTAAACCCCAAAGCCTAAACCGTATCCTCTAACGCCGATAAACCCTAAGCCCTAAACCCTAAACCCTGAGGCTACCGCGATGTGTGCATCGACGGGAACCAGCGGTGCCCATGCGGGCAAAACACGCGGCAATGCCCGAGCTCCGACCTTTGCGTCCTTCGGTCCCTTGGAGGGCAGTCTTTCCTCGGGTTTAGGGCTTAGGGTTTAGGGTTTAGGAGGCTGGGTTTAGGCTTCAGGGGGTTTAGGGGGCTTAGAGGTTTCAGGATTCACACCAGGGAGTTGGTTTACTTGTCCCCCAACCCCCCCCCCCCTGCTCTTGAAGTGAAGCTCCCGAGTTTAGGGTTTAGGGTTTAGGGTTCCCAAATAAGGGGTGCCCTTTTTTGGGGTTCCGATGATAAGGATGAGACTGTTTCGGGGGTCATATGGAGGGGGAGTTCTATTTGGAGGGTTCCCCTTTCGAGTAGCAAGAGTCTTTTTGGCGCTCATTTTCATACTGTTCTTGAAACACAAGCTGTGAATACAACAGCAAGGAAACGACACAAGCAACTAGACAATGAGCTAGGTCACCCTAAACCCTAAACCCTAAACCCTAAACCCTAAACCCTAAACCCTAAACCCTAAACCCTAAACCCTAAACCCTAAACCCTAAACCCTAAACCCTAAACCCTAAACCCTAAACCCTAAACCCTAAACCCTAAACCCTAAACCTAACCCTAAACCCTAAACCCTAAACCCTAAACCCTAAACCCTAAACCCTAAACCCTAAACCCTAAACCCTAAACCCTAAACCCTAAACCCTAAACCCTAAACCCTAAACCCTAAACACCCGCAACCCCGAAACCCTCAAAGCCCCTGAAGCTCTAAGCTTCCAAGCCTCGACCTCATCGCGGCATTCAAGGTCGCTGGTGGATCAGGTGTGTCCTTGCGCTGCCTGGGAGAAGGCCCTCAGTGATGAGAAAGTCTGGAGAGGAACCCTAAACTCCTAAACCCTAAACCCTAAAGGTTTCGAGTTTCGGGGGAGCAAGGTCTTTTGTCTGCAGCAGGTTTCGCACCGGGCATGGCGAAGTGAGTGCCGCTGGGTTTCGGGTGGTTCAGTGCTGCTGCGATTCCTTGCATTTGCTGAGCTACTACAAGTTGCGGCTGTTACTCCAGAAACTAAAGCCCTAGACCACAAATATCAGAACCTTAAACCGTGCCCCTTGCACCCAAAACCCTAAACCCGAAATCCGCACGCCGTAAACTCAAAGCCTGAAGCCCTCAGCCCTAAGCCTTATTCCCTGACTGCACCAGGCGTGCGAGGTCACCGACTACGACCTTCAAGGCTAGAATTGGGTTTAGGGTTTAGGGTTTGAGGTTTATGGTTTAGGGTTTAGGTTAAGGGTTTAGGGTTTAGGGGTTGGGGTACTTTGGCTTAAGGAAATGTTTGGGGCCTAGGGTTTAGGGTGAGGAGAGGGTCTGGCCAGGTCTTGTTCGGAGGGTCGCGGGGATTAGGTTTAGGGTTTGGGGTTTGGGGTTTGGGGTTTAGGGCTTAGGGTTTCGGGTTTAGGGTTTAGGGCGAGAATTCCAACGGAGTCAGTTGCGCCAGCCATACCCGTGGGAAGCTTGCAATTCGCTCTACCAGGGCTGACGTGCCTGCCACAAGGGCTGCAGGCAAAGTTACTTAAACCCTCGACCCTAAACCCTAAACCCTAAACCCTAAACCCTAAACCCTAAACCCTAAACCCTAAACCCTAAACCCTAAACCCTACACCCTAAACCCTAAACCCTAAACCCGAAACCCTAAACCCGAAACCCTAAACTTCAACCCTCAACCCTCAACCCTCAACCCTCAACCCTCAACCCTCAACCCTCAACCCTCAACCCTCAACCCTCAACCCTCAACCCTCAACCCTCAACCCTCAACCCTAAACCCTAAACCCTAAACCCTAAACCCTAAACCCTAAACCCTAAACCCTAAACCCTAAACCCTAAACCCTAAACCGTAACCTTACCGCCCCATGCGCCCGTGAAGGTGCCCCGGAGTCCACGAGCATCCTCTGCACCAGCCCTAGTGCCATGTGCCCCTGCGGGCGGAATTCGCTCCCCGGCAGAGAGCACGGTTTGGGGGGGGGGTTAGGGTTTAGGGTTTATGGTTTAGGGTTTAGGGTTTGGAGTTTAGGGTTTAGGAGTTCAGGGTTTAGGAGGTTAGGGGTTTAGGAGTTTAGGAGTTTGGGGGTTTAGTTTTTTTTTTTTTTGGGGGGGGGGGGGGGGGCAAACCCCGAAGCCAATGCCTTGAACCCGGAATCCCGTAAACTGACAATTGTAGTCATATGTATATATATATATATATCTACTCGGGGATGTCTTTTTTGTATACGGTTGTAAATATAGAATACAATGGAGTACAGTCCAATATATGTATATATATATATATATATACATGTATATGATGCGCCTCCAGAGATCAAGGCTTAAGGGGGCGGGCAGCACATACGTGTGTATTGTACTAGCAGTCCTTAACAGGGATGAAAATCGGGGGTACTCGCAATCCCTTTTAAGGACTGTAAAAGCTGGAAAAATGCCAAACTGATAATGTACCAAACCTCACCTATCATGGGTTGTGAAGAGCATCTTCGCCGTGAAATGTTTTGAGAGCTCACCTACCCTAAATCCTGACTCCCTAAGCCCTCAACCCCTAAACATCCCTAAACCCTAAACAACCCCAAGCCCTAAGCCTGTAAGCCCGTAAGCCCTAGCCCTAACCCCGAAGCCCGAACCCTAAACCCCAAACCCTAAACCCTAAATCGCGCTAGACCGCTGAGTCAGGCTGGTCTGCCCGCATCCCAAGGAGAGCTGCAGCGGAGGGTCGGGACTCTAAAACAGCTCTGGGTTTGGGTTCAGGGTTTCGGAACCCTAAATAAACCCTAACTCCTAAACCCAAAGCCCCAAACCTCCCAAGGCCTACAGTGCAGCCCCAGAAATGCAAGGCAGTTGAAGTGGGAGTCAGGGGTCGGGATTCAAGTCCCAACAAAACGAGCGTATCATAGAATTTAGGGTTTAGGGTTTAGGTTTTAGGGTTTAGGGCTGAGGCTTCATACTTCGCCCCCTGTAGATGCCCCCTGCAGAAGACAGACAGACTCCTCCACTTCAAACCCCGCGTTCTGCGGCCCGCGTGTGCAGGACCCCAACCGGACGGTTTGCACTTCCAAGTTCAGCGGAGGCTCGGCTCATGAAAAGCCACGATTCTTTCAGGGTTTAGGGTTTAGGGTTTTGGGGGTTAGGGTTTAGGGTTTAGGGTTTAGGGGTTAGGGGTTAGGGTTTAGGGTTTAGGGTTTAGGGTTTTAGGGTTACCAGCCTACCTCTCACAAGGATGCCCAGTGTATGCCATTCTTCTCGCCAAGATGCAGAAGGGAAGCACCCAAAACGCGGGGCAAGAATGGTCGCCATAGACCCTACCTTTCATCAGCAGCTTCTGAGGACTCGATCGGGGTTTTTGGGGGTCTGGGATCTGCACCTCGGGAGTGTGCAGCCCTGCTGTTTGTACGTCAACTGCGACAATTTTTTCGCCAACCCGAAGCCCGAAAAGCCCCAAAGGCCAAAGGCCCCTAATTAAAACCCTACTACAGGCCCTAAAAATCCTGAAAACCCTAAGCCCTAGACCCTAGACGACTGGTGCCAGGACCTCGAGTTTCAGAGACGTGCTGGGTTCACCTCGCTGGTTGCTAGGGCACATACATGCTCCACACAGCACTTTCACCGTCTTGCCGCTCTTGGTGTGCTCGATAGGCAAGTTGCGTCGATCAGCCGGTGGTTGGTTGAGCAGCCGTGTTTTGCCAAAGTGCGCGCCCACACCACCCTTCGACACGAACCTATGAACGGCGACGCAACATTTCTTCCGTGTACTCTACGATGAATGCGACATGAGAAAAAGTTGTTCAAGGAGTGCAAATACTCCGGCATGTCCGGCTTGTGAATGGTCACTGCCCCTCCTCTTTCATGCTCTCTCATGCGCTGCGCACTGCCGGTTGGGTGCAATTTTCGAAAAAAGGCAAGCCCCTCAAGCCCTAAACCCCTCAACTCCGAAACCCTTGAACACCTTAAACAGGTCCTAAATCCTAAGCCCTAGACCCTAAATCCTAAACCCTAATCCCCAAACCCTAAACCCTAAACCCTAAACCCTAAACCCCATGTTCAGCTCAGGAGCCGTCGCCAATCAGTGCCCCGCGCCCTGCTCCCTGGAGCAGGAGCTCCAGGGCAGCGAGACTTGCGTTCAGCTGCTAGGCTGGCACTTGGGAGTAGGAGGGTTGATCAAGAGACCTGGGGTTTAGGGTTCAGGGTTTAGGGTTTAGGGTTTAGGGTTTAGGGTTTAGGGCTTGGGGTTTAGGGTTTAAGGGTGTATAGGTTTCCTGGCAAGTGCATAGGGGTTCCTATCTGGGGTTTAGAAGGGGTTCAGATTAGGGTTTAGGGTTGTGGGGTTTTCTTCTAGGTTTGGGGTTCTGTTTGTTTTGGAGGCTTTATTTAGGGTTTTAGACTGTTTTTCGGGTTTTAGAGTTGAGAGGTTTCGAGGTGTGGGGCACCTGGGGTGCCTGGATACTTGGGTTATAGATCCCCCCAGAATAGGATCCCCCCAAAATAAGGACCACGACATGGTACAATATGGAGCATGTTAAGGTGACCTCTTAGTGGTGAAGCCATAGAGGTCCGAGTATGACTCCCTTGATGGATCAGGGGTCCCAAGTACAAACCCTACAAGCCCACTGCAGGTTGAACATCCAGAAGCCCGGATTTAGGGTTTAGGGTTTAGGGTTTGGGGTTTAGGGTTTAGGGTTTGGGGTTTCGGGTTTCGGGTATCCGTCAAGCTTCTTTTCTGGCCGAAATAAGGATCCACCTTCTTCCCAGCTACTCCTTCCGGACGATCAGCTGCTCTCCCTGGAGGGTCTGAGGAGCTGAAATTGGGGTTTAGGGTTTGGGGTTTGGGGTTTGGGGTTTAGGGCTTTGGGGTTTAGAGTTTAGGGTTTGGGTTTAGGGCTTAGGGTTTAGGGTTTAGGGTTTAGGGCTTAGGGTTCGGGGTTTAGGGTTAGGGCAGCATCTCAGGTCCAAGTCAAACAGCTTGTCAAGCGTTTTGAAGAATACCGTACCCACCCGCCCACAGAATCCCATAACACTAAGGCATTATGAAGGTTTTCATCTTCCTTTTACGCGACGAGGCACACAATAGCAACACATCACGCTGCCGATTGTTCAACTTCTTCAAAGCAAGGGGGGGGCCCGATTGTTCATTTTTTGAAAGCCACAGGGGGCCCCGAATTTTCAAAATCCGATGAACATGCAAATGCTAATAACAAAGAGAGGGCTTAGGGTGTAGGGCCGGCCCTTGGGACATTTCAACCCTAAACCCCAAACCCTAAACCCTAAACCCTAAACCCTAAACACTAAACCCTAAACCCTGAACCCTAAACCCTAAACCCTAAACCCTAAACCCTAAACCCTTATTGGGCTTCCGCTTCGCCAACCTGCACGAAGCATCCCAAAGCTTCTAGGGGATCCGGGATTCAGAAGTCAAGCATTTAGGGCCCAGGGTGGTTTAGGGTTTAGGGTTTAGGGTTTAGGGTTTAGGGTTTAGTGTTTCGGGGTCAGGGTCGGAGTGTTCGGGGCTTAGAGTGTAGGATGCGCCCACCCTAGGCTGTCGGCCGCCGGCAGAGTGTGTGGCGGGCGAGCGCACGAAGAAGTGCTCCTTGGACCCTTCCGTAAGGGCCTCCGGAAGCAGCCCCGAAGCTTTAAAAACCCTAAAGCCCTAAACCCAAAAACCCTGAATTAGAAACCTAAAACCCTAAATTATATCCCTAAATTATAACCCTAAAGCCCTAAACCCTAAATTATAACCCCAAAACCCTAAAAACCCCAAAGCTCTAAACACGCGCCACCACTCGCTTGTCTCTGGAGTCGCCGGGCGCCGGTCGAGCGCTCAGCGAGACCCTGGAAAAGGACCGCCCCCAGAGCCCCCGTCCTCTAAGGCTTTACACCGCCTTCTCTTCAGGTTTCTGCCCCTGCCGCGTTGGGTCATTGGTCCAGCATAGTGCCATGCAAGTGGCAAACTCAGGTCAGCGCACCTCGAGGGAAGGGCAGCACCTCTTAGCTTCCCGTGACCCTTCTTGCGTCCTCTGAGCCAGTCCTCATCGTGCTTGTTGGGCTGTGTCTGTCAAATTGCTCTCCAGGCACCCTTACCAATTGGGGGGGTTTACGATATTAGGGGCACCTTCTTGGGGTCCAAATTATAAGGGGATCCCGCTATTCGGGGGTCTATTTTGGGGGTCCCGATTTTCGTAAACCCCCATGTGGTTTGTGCCAGCGCCAACCCAGATAGGTGGTGTCTCCCCGCTGGCTCGGAGCTCGCCACTTGCTGCATCCCCCGCAAGGCTCTGAGCGAGTGCCCCTGTTCCTTGGGCCTGGCCACCAGCTTGTGGTCGCGCTTCGCTGCTCCCTCCCCGGCTTGGGCTTGGGTCGTGGCCTGCTACTGCCTCTTCGTGGCCAGCGCCAACCCTGCCGGAGTGTGCTTATCGGCAACCAAGGGGAGTGTTCGTCCTCCGTCATTTTCCGTTTCTTGCTCCCTGGCCCATGTATTGGGGGTTGGGCTTCAAGCCTCCCTTGTGTTTTTCCCTGCCCTCGTCGCTGTTTTTCTTCCCCTCCCCTTCTTCGGTTCTTTTTGGTGGCGCTCTCTTGCTTTCACTTTCCTCTTTCCGGCCTTCCGCGTGGGCAGGTGTGTGTGTGTGTGTGTGTGTTTCATCGAAGCCTGTGGCTCCCTTTCTGGATTTGTGCGTTTCCGTGTCTTCTTGCTCCTCTCTGCCTTTGCATGTGTGTCCCATGCCCTTGCCCTCCGCTTGAACCCCTCATGGAAGCGTGCGGATGACATGTTCGGAGCACGGCTGAGATGTGGTGGGGGGGTGGGGACATGGTTGTAAGGCGGCGGTTGCTGCTGCTGCTGCTGCTGCCGTCCTCCTCCTCCTCCTCCTCCTAATCTAAACCCTAAACCCTAAACCCTAAACCCTAAACCCTAAACCCTAAACCCTAAACCCTAAACCCTAAACCCTAAACCCTAAACCCTAAACCCTAAACCCTAAACCCTAAACCCTAAAGTGCTAGAACCTAGAGTTTCCTCCTAAATCTAAACCCTAAAGCCCCCCTCTACTTTTTTAACCACCTAAACCTCGAAGATGTCCGAAGGCCCGTCTGGCGCCTTCGTCCCCGTGTGGCGCCCTTGCAAGGCTGCATCGGGGTTTCGTAGGGGTTTTAGGGTTTAGGCGATCAGAGGTTGAGGGTTTTGGGATCTAGCTGTTTAGGAGTTGAGGGCTTTAGGGTTTTAAAGTTTTCGGGTTTAGAGTTTCGGGGTTTAGTGTTTTTGCGGTTGTTCGAGAGATTTGGGTTTCATGACTTTGGGTTTGTCGAGCTAAGAAGGGGCCTTGTGGTTTGTGCTTTAGGGTTCAGGTTTCGGGCCTCGAACCTCAAACCAAAATCCCAAAAAACTGCTTTAAACTTTTAAGCTTTGGGGTTCAGTGCTTGCCTGCCTTCATATGTCTGCGGACCTT